ATTCAAGTAATTTTTCTTCTGAAAATATATATATATAAATAATAGCAGCCGGTGTGCTTGCTTTGTCTCGAAATTCTTTATTTAATGAAAATCTTTTCAGGGGATACATTATCATTATTGTTTCTACGTGGTTGAAACCGGTTTACACCTGTTTACGTTCGTGTATCAGTTGGTTAACATTGTAATGCAATTCGTTAAAAATAAATACAAATAGGAAGTATATAAAAAATCTCCTGAATAAAAACTCATTACATGTATATATAAATATAAAAGTAATGCATATAAACTCGTGCAAAATATGCAATTATTAAAACACTACAGTGTGTCTAATAATTTGGTCTAATTATTATAATATACTAATATAATATTTGATATAATATATATTTGATATTTATATAATATATAGTCTAATTTATCCAATCCTCGAATTTATATTATATGTCGTCTAATTTAACCAATTGATACACGAAAGTAAACACGTGAAAACCGGTTTCAGTCGCGTAAAAACAATAAAGCTGTATAGTATCACGTGATAATTAAGATATTACATGAAATCTTATAGTGCGTCTAATAATTTGGCCAGGGACTATCAAAATATGCTAACTTACTTTAAAAGAGTCTTTAGTATTTAAAATTTTTTTTTTGGTTCTTTCATCTTATTACATTACATTATTACATACATTCAAAATTAAAACTGTCTTTACAATTCTAAAAACAACAAAACAACTTACAAAGCTAAACTGATGAGCTGATCCCAGTGACATTTAGTAAGTTCGAGTGAATATTTTTTTTTTAATTTGAGAAAGCGTATACCAAGTAGATTTGCTTTATGTGTCAGAAAATAAAAACTAGATCTTGCCTTTATTTCTAGCTAGCAAGCTACCAATTGGCAAAACAATAAATCCCCAACATTTATTTAAACACTTCATGCGATAGCATCCACATTCTTGTCTATATAATAGTATGATGACAAAAGTAATATAATACTCTTGCAATAGGCTGCTGAAAGAGAGAGATTTTCTAACACTATCGTCGACTGCTTGCTGCCAAATTTACTTGGAGCCTTCTTTTACTACAAAAACACAGTAAGTTTGTCACATAGTGCCTTCTTTAACTGCTATAACCAAAGTTTAATGACAAATTAAAATCGAGTACTTATCCATTTCTGGAACTGAAAAAGGCCTATTACTTCAGTACATATAATAAAATATTATGTGCCAATCCCCACAGTAACAGTAAACCTATTGCCAGAATTAATTAAGAATTACTGAAATTAATAATAGTTTGTCGGTTTTTTCAGGGTCTTATTATTAATGTGATCAATGTCTAAATCAATGCTGTATACATTGTAAAATATTTTGATGCATATTTTGGTTGCCACAATTTTTAGTGTAGATGTAAATTAAATACATTCATAAGTACAGAACTGTGGCTAACGCGTAAAATATTTTATAAAATTGAATAAATGACAATTGTTTGAAATAATTAGGGCGAATATATTACTAAAAATTTAATTGTATTTCAATTGAAATGTTTTTGCAATGAAGCCATATATTGTTTCTAATGCCCAGGAAAATATGTGTGGTCAGTAAATAAACAAGCAAAAAATAAATAAATAAATAAATTAAACTATAATAGCGAAAAAGTAAATGAAAAATTTGACTACATTCACAGTAGAAAATTTAGTTTACTTCAACAAAAACAGTGGCAACTATACTCCAAAACTTTTTACAATGTAGTTAAATAAGACTGAAATACGAACTTTTCCCGAGAAGGCTCAGTTACAAATTGTCGTTTAGAAACTCCTTATACTAAGCTTTTCAATCATATTTATGTGTTTCTTTTTGCTACCTGAAAGCACTTAAGAACTTGTTACATAAAAGCATTTTCAAACACTTGCGCATACATTGTAAGATAATAAAGAGCTAAATATAATCATTAAACTAGGCACTACATGCATTTATTTAACTTCTTTAGTCACTGAAAATTTAATAACAAAAATAATATGATATAAATAAACAGAAAAACAAAATACTTTACCATTGTTACTGTCTTCCGGGGATTCAATTGGCGGCAGTGTGCTATTTAAACCAGAAAGCATATCACTGAAGAAGCCTTTCGGATAGGAAACGTTAGGAAAATCATTTGGAATTCTTAGTGGCACTGGAGCAGGAGGTTCAGGTGTATTAATTTCTAAAAAAGTTAACATTTTATATTACGCTTGTACCCATGCTACATTAAAAAAAAAAAAAAAGAAAAATCGGATCGAATTACGGCACGAAATGTTACTAATTTCGAATGCATAATACGTTAAAATCTATTTTAACGAAAAATCCATTTTTACCGTAAAATATTAGACAGTAATTTTTAAAGTAATATAGAGTGATTCAGTGATTTCGCGATAGTTATTACTCTAAAAATTAAGGTAGATCAGATATTTTGTTTCGTACAAACCCGAATTTTACGGTAAAAGTACCGGCACCCTGAGTGCCGGTAACTTTTACTGCAAATTTTTTACATTGTACGTATTGCTAGAATTCTGGCATAAAAAATTTAAATTTAAAAATTCATTTAATAAAAATAGAATAATAAGAATTGGGGAAATTCTGGAAAAATAAACAAACTTTTTAAGGTAACAGATCCAAACCAGTTCTAAAAAATACTTATTTGTCACCAACTTTGTTTTAGCATGAAAAAGTATTTCGATAATAATTATCTGATATTAAGGATTGATACTATGTAGGCCGGTGAGTTCGAACTGTAATTAGATAAAAAAATAATTGATAAACAAAGATTAATTCGAAATTTACTGAAAGGAACTTTCAAAATTTCATAAATTTTTAGTTACAAATCTCTTGTAATAGTATGTCATATAAAATGTCATATAAATTATGACATTTGACTCTTGAAAGACTTAATCTTGTGATAAATTAAAGGTGTTCATTAAAATTATGAAGTGTTTCGTTTTAATGCATGTTTTGCATGCGTTAATGCTGAAAGATCGTTAATGCTGAAAGATCGTTAATGCGTTAATGCTGAACATGCGTTAATGCTGAAAGATCGTTAACATCGGCTCCCTCAGTGTGAATTCAGTCTTATGAATCAAGAATTAGATTTTTTTAAAAATTTTCTATTTGATACTATAAGTTGTGTTAATACCTGTTGTTTCGATGTCTGTTGGTGGAATCGTGCTGATACTGTCGGTCTTTGTTACAGGGTATGTTTCTGGACCTAGGGTAGAAAAGTCATTATATGGCTCTGTTGTTTGTGTGACTGGAATTCCATCTGTGACTGGATTCTGAGGAAATTTCGGCCTTCTTCTCCTCGGTCTTCCACTTCCTGGCCTTCTTCTTAGAGGTCTTCCTCCTCCAAATGGTCTTCTTCTTCTTCCAAAAGGTCCTGGTCCATTTGCTTCAGGATTCAATGGAGCCGCTTCTGAATGAAAAAAAATATAAATGATAATAGCCGGCGTGTTTGGTTTGTCTCGAAATTCTTTATTTAATAAAAATCTTTTCAGGAAATTTTTTTAGTAAAATGCATGTCAACTGAGAAATGTCTTTCCTTCGTAGCATCTACAGGTCCTGGCCAAATTATTTGACGCATTATAAGATTTTATGTAAAATCTTAATTATCAGGTGATACTATAAAGCATTATTGCTTCTACATGTCTGAAACCGGTTTACAGTTGTTTACGTTCGTGTAACAGTTGGTTAACATTGTAATGCAATTCGTTAAAAATAAATACAAATAGGAAGTATTTAATACTATTTGCGCATATATATATTACGCTTACCGGAGGCCAAGCCATAGTATATAAAAAATCTCCTGATTAAAAACTCATTACATGTATCTTGAAATATAAAACAAATGCAGATAAACTCGCACAAAACACGCAATTATTAAAACACTACAGTGTGCCCAATAATTTAAGCTAATTGATGTAATATATTAATATAATATCTGATATAATATATATTTGATATTTATATAACATATAGTCTAATATATCCAATCGTTGAGTTTATATTATATGTCGTTTAATTTAACCAATTGATACAGGAAAGTGAAAAAGTGAAAACCGGTTTCAGTGGGGTAAAAACAATAAAGCTGTATAGTATCACCTGATAATTAAGATTTTACATGAAATCTTATTGTGCGTCTAACAAGTTGCCCAGTGACTATTAAAATGAGCTAACTTATTTCAAAAGAGTCTTTAGTATTAAAAGTTTATTTTTTTAGTTATTTCATCTTAATTAAAAACACAAATAATATAAACTAAATTAGAAATCTTTTGGTGAAAGTTCAGAGAAAGCAATTAAACTGAATTTAATTTTAATTATATGAGATAATGATTATTTTAATTATTATTTGTCGCAAAATGTTTACGTTGTGATCAAAATTTTTTTTTCTTCTGAAATACTTGTTTCTTTATGTATAATAAGAGCATCAAAACCCAGAGAAAAAATAAAACACCTATTTCATTTATTCACCGGCTGCTTAGATACGCAAGAAAGGTAAATTATGTTTAAAAATCTATACATTCAAGTAATTTTTCTTCTGAAAGACGGCGCCTTTTTTATGATAATATGTGCTTAATAATCAAAAATTAAAAGGCAGAAACTGTATACATTCAAAATTAAAACTGTCTTTACAATTCTGAAAACAACACAACAACTTACGAAGCGAAGCTCATGAGCTGATTCCAGTGACATTTAGGAAGTTTGAGTGAATATATATTTTTTTAATTTGAGAAAGCGTATACTAAATAGATTTGTTTTATGTGTCAGAAAATAAAAACGAGATCTTGCCTTTATTTCTAGCTCGCAAGCTTCCAACTTGCAAAACAATAAATCTCCAACATTTATTTAAGCACTTCATGCTATAGCATACACATTCCTGTCGATATAATATTATGGTGACAAATGTAATAATATAATCTTGTAGTAAGCTGCCGAAAGAGAGAGACCTTTTAACACGTCGATCGCTTGCTGCCAAATTTACTTGGAGCCTTCTTTTACTCCAAAAAAACAGTAAGTTTGTCATTTATTACCTTCTTTAACTGCTATAACCAAAGTTTAATGACAAAGTAAAATCGAGTACTTATCCATTTCTGGGACCGAAAAAAATATATTACTACAGTACTTATAATAAAATATTATGTGCCAATCCCCACAGTAACAGTATACCCATTGCCTGAATTAATTAAGCATTACTGAAATTAATAATAGTTTGTCGGTTTTTTCAGGGTCAATGCATTGTCAATGCATTGTGAAATATTTTGATGCATATTTTGGTTACTGAAATTAATAATAGTTTGTCGGTTTTTTCAGGGTCAATGCATTGTGAAATATTTTGATGCATATTTTGGTTGCCACAATTTTTGTTGTAGATGTAAACTAAATACATTCATAAATACAGAACTGTAGTTAATGTGCAAAATATTTTATAAAATTGAATAAATGACAATTGTTAGAAAGAATTAGGGTGAATAAATTACTAAAAATGTACCTGTATTTTAATTGAACTGTTTTTGCAATGAAGCCATATATTGTTTTTAATGCCCAGGAAAATATGTGTTGTCAGTAAATAAACAAGCAAAAAATGATTAAATAAATAAATTAAACTATAACGGTGGAAAAGTAAATGAAGAATGTGACTACATACACAGTAGAAATTTTAGTTTAATTCATCGAAAACAGAGGCACTTATACACTGCCGACTTTTAACAGTGTAATTAAATAAGACTGAAATACGAACTTTTCCCGAGAAAGCTCATTTACAAAATTGTCGTTTAGAAACTCCTTATACTGAGCTTTTCAATCATATTTATATTTTTCATTTTGCTACCCTAAGACACTTAAAAACTTCTAATATAAAAGCACTTTAAACTTTTACGCATATATTGTAAGACAATAAAGATCTAAATATAATCATTAAACTAGACACTACAGGCATTTATTTAACCTCTTTAGTCACTCAAAATTTAAGAACAAAAATAATATGATACAAATAAACACGAAAACAAGATACTTTACCATTGTTACTGTCTTCCGGGGATTCAATTGGCGGTAGTGTGCTATTTAAACCAGAAAGCATATCACTGAAGAAGCCTTTCGGATAAGAAACGTTAGGAAAATCATTTGGAATTCTTAGTGGCACTGGAGCAGGAGGTTCAGGTGTATTAATTTCTGAAAAAGTTAACATTTTATATTAATCTTATAAATATGCTACGTTTAAAAAAAAATCGAATCGAATTACGGTACGAAATATTACGAATTACGAATGCACCGTCACATTCGTAAAATCTATTTTAACGTAAAATCCATTTTTACCGTAAAATATTAGACCGTAAGTTTTACAGTAATATCGAGTGATTCAGAGATTTGCGGTAATTATTACTTTAAAAATTACGGTAGATCAGATATTTTGTTTCGTACATGTTCTTGTAAAGAATATTTTGTTCCGTACAAACCCAGAATTTTACGGTAAAAGTACCATCACCCTGAATGCCGATACTTTTTACTGCAATTTTGCTAGAATCCTGGCATAAAAAATTAAGATTCAAAAATCTATTCTATAAAAGTAGAATAATAAAATTTGAGGGAATTCTGGGACAAAAAACAAATTTTTTAAGGTAAGAGATCCAAACCAGTTCTAAAAATGTACTTATCTGTCTCCATCTTTGTGCGTTTCAACGAGAAGAATTTAATCTCGGGAAAATAACTCCAGACAAAACAGTTAAAATTAAAAAGCACTTCTATAATAATTATCTGATTTTAAGGATTGAAATGATCCGGCTGGTGAGTTCGAACTGTAATAAGATAAATATTAATTGGTAAACAAAGATTAATTCGATATTTACTGAAAGGAACTTTTAAAATTTCGTATTTTTTTTTTGGTTACAAATCTCGTGTAATAGTATTATTCCAATTGCACTCATATAAATTATGACATTTAAATCTTAAGGTGCTTTACCTTAAAGATGTTAATAAAAATTATAAAATGCTTCATTTTAATGTTTCTCTTAATAACATGTTTTGTCAGAAAAGCATTATTTTTATAATATCATTATATTACAATACAATAAGTGTAATAATTGGAAATGAGAACATTTTTAGAGCTGTTTAAAAGTGCAATCTTGTTAAATTTTAAGAAGCATGAAAATTTCAGTTAACTTTAACAGTTAACTTTAACTAATTTAGTAGTTAATTTCAACTAATTCTTGCACATAAATTGATTTTTTAAAATATATTTAATTACTTTCGAATAAATATTTAATTTCATTAAATTCAGTGTCAAAAGTCAGCATGGAATAAGTCGATAAATACATGTAGTTGTTAAAGTGGTGTTCTGTCATCGGTGTGCTTTTTTACAGTTCTTTTTGTTTTCATTCCTTTTGTTTTGTTTTGTTTGTTTTGTTTCATTTTGCGGACTTTTTTTATTTTGGTGCACTTCTTTCCGTTCACCTGAAATATAAATGTTTAGCTTCAATAGGATTTTATAAATTTTGATATTGGAATTGTTTTGAATTCAAAATTCTCCAAACACCCAACCAATTTAAAATTAATTAATTTTTAAATATAAAATTAAAATTATAAATTATTTTTAAATGAAGGTAAAGAAGGGGGAGTAAAAAATCTATTATATTAAAGGAATGTAAAATAGTTTATAATGTAAAATTGTTTTTTTAAGAGGATTTTAAATTAAATGTTTTTAGTATAAAATTAAATGTTTTCAGTATAAAATAAAGCAAAAGAATATATTAAACTGTTTTATAATTTTTTACCGAATTTTATTAATAATAAATAAATTACTGCACCAAATGCAAGCAATTCGAAAGCAATGACCTGCGGCCAATCTAAACATAAACAACTTTGAATATCTCAAACTGTGTCGCATATTTAAAAAAAAATTTCAATTAAAAATAAAAATAATGATAGTTACATAAAAATTGTTTCTGCCGAATAGTGAAATTGATATGATTTTGTCATACTTATACATTAGTTCTTTACTGTTCAATTATATGCGTTGACCAGTTACTGTAATAAAGTAGCAGATTGTTTGCTGTTAAATAATAATTGCAGTTCAGTTTGCACTTTTAATCAAGCAAAATTTAACATCAAATATAAATTACCTTTATTGCTGTCTTCTATTGGTGCAACTGTTGGCAACGGGTTATTTAAGCCTGAAAGCATGTCTTTGAAGAAACCCGGTGGATAAGAAAATTTAGGAAAATCATTTGGAATTCCTGGTGGTACAGTAGGAGGTGGTTGAGGCGTTGAAGCTTTAGTATAATAAAAATATATATATATATAGAATCAGACTTTTATTTAACAAGAACGTAATCATCTCAACGATTGGTTTTTAAGGTTTTATCATGTAATATGACTCCTAATTTAGTCTAGTATGTTCTTAAAGAACATATTTAGAACTGTGGTGCAAATAAATATTTGTTGAATCAAAATAGGTATATAAATATATATAGGGATTTGTTTTGAAGCATTTATAATTAATAATTACATTGATCAATAAAAATTAAAATACAAGAATTTTATGGAATTCTATAATAACGGTGATATCCATTAACTGTTTAGTCGAAGAATCTAAATATACATCTAAAACTATTTTTTTTTATCCGTTTCTGCAACTGTCTTCAACTTCAATTTTCTTCAACTTTTCTTCAACTTGTCGAGAGTTTTATGTATTCTTACTGGATGGATACTTAGTTTTTACCTCTGCTTAAATTTACATAAATTATGCATTTAATACATAATACATACACGTTTTAAAATTTGAAAAATCTTTACTTTTGGTCTCAGAAAAAAAACGTGAATCTTCACAGGCAAAAATATAATTAAAATATGTCCTTCATTCTTCCTTCTTTAAAATAAAATGTTTTTCTTCTTTAAAAATTCCAGGAATGCAAATTAATCTGAACGTAAATGAATAGTCATGAATGACATCATTTCAGTAAATTTTGAATGTAAACTTTAGATCTAATTTTGTACTTAATTTTTCGAATGTAGTTTTTAAAATATAATTTTGAATATGATTTAAAAGAAAAAAAATTGCTGAAAAACTATGAAATAGAAAAAATGTTACTCACATTGGAATAAAATACAAATATATTACTTTTCGGATTGTCTGAATGCATTATGTAGTATTTTTAGATCGATTTTTATTTACTGGCTTACAACAGACTACATAAAAATGACCAGCAACAATTAAACTGATAAGAAAAGCATTACAGCAAAAAGTTTATTAAATCAGAAATTTTGTAATAAATAAGTATTACTTACTTTGAAGCGCAGGTAAATTGCTGTTTAATCCAGAAAGCATATCATTTACAAAATTCTTAGGGATTCCTGGATATTCATTTGGTACATTGGGAAACGGTGCATTTTGCCCGAAGTTCGATGGGTTTGTGTTACCATTCTGCGGATTAAAATTTTGACGACCAGGGAAATTTTCTGGACGCCTAGGACCTTTTCTTCGACGCCTGCCGTTCGGTCCATTCCGAAGTCTTGGTCTTTGATTATTAGCTTGATTTTGAGGAATAAATGGCTGCCTTGTTGTAGTTGTTGTTGTAGTTTCTGGTTTAGCACCCCAGTTACCCCATCCACCCCAACCACCAGCTCGCTTTTTTCTCGAAAGCTTATTGTTAGAAGATGGTACTGGAGATTTTTCTCTGTCGCTTGAAGTTGAAATTGGGAAATTGAATTGGACGAAATTATTAGCATCTTCAATTTGATCCGGGTTGTTTGTGCTGGGTAATATATCCTGGTTCTTATCAGGATATTCTTCAAACGTGTATTCAAATTGCGTTTCTTCACCAAGCTTTAATAGATTGTCATCTTGAAAATAACTAAGTTGTATCCCACCTGTAAAAAAATAAATTTAAGTTTATATTTATAGGTTGTAAGTTTATATATAATATAGCGTCATAAGTATGAAGTATATATATATATATTTTTTGACAAAAAGACACAAAATTTTTTGACTAAAAATGGGTCCTCCCCGAGAGACAATATAAATGATAAAGCTCGTTTGTACATGTAATTTGTCTATTAACTTTCAGAAAATTTAAATCTAGCAACCTTTTTAGTTTTTATTAAATGTTTTATTTAATTTTTTAAAAAAATTTATGTTTTATTTCAAATTATGCATAATTCTTTCGTTAATCAATTTTGAAGCAAAGATAAGTCAGGCCAGAAATAAATGCTTTTATTTTGTTACGATTTATTCCACCCATTTTCTAGTATTCTGTCAAATTCTAAAAATAAGAAAAAATTGCATTTGCTATTAATTATTTTGTAAAATCAAATTATCTAGTAAGTATTATAATACCGTGAAGGAATTACAATTTAACTATCTATATATTTCAGTTAACAGTTTTATCATGATGAATTAACGGGGTTTCATGTTCACATACATAACATTGTAATTTGAAATCTGATTAAGAAGAAAAGGGAATTTTTGTTCTTAATGTCAGGCAAAAATTAGTTTTTGTGAGTATTTTCATTACGTAGAAACCAACACCTGCATTTCAACGAAAGGAAATTCATTAACATATATCATTATTTGCCTTTCAATAATGGAACTCCTATTCATCTTTTATTTTGTGCCATGGTTTGTGGTTAGAGCAGTAGGGCACAGTAAACGAAACCATCAGTCACAACCGTTATTCGAGCTATACCATTACACCTAATGACAAAACTATTTTTATGTAAATTAATTTGTTCGTTTTTTAAAAGCATTTTTAATTAAAAGATTTCAGAAGAAAAAATATTATTGACTATATTATTATTATTATAATTATTATTATTGCACAACTCTTTTGAGTAAAATTCTTGGGCTTCCAATGAAATTATTAAGTTAGCTTACTCCTTTACAGTAGTCTAATTATAATATCATATTAATGAAATCAGTACTATTTCTGCGAAATCATCGCGCTTTTTTTTCCTCTTTTCAAATGACACGAAGAAATTTTATTATTTCACCTGTTTATATGGCGGTCTTTATCACCCATTTGTTGCACATCAGAAAACTTAGGCACGATTTGATTTGCATAATATCCAACCGATTTTTCTTGGAAAAACTTCAGGAAATTTCAAGACAACATCTACACTATTTAACTGATCTATATAAACTGTATTTATATATGTGCCAAACTATTTTTTTCGATGATGTTGCAGATCCAAAGCTAAAATCTGATTTTTTTATCAGCACAAATTTGCATTTTGATTCAGCATAGTAATCTTTGAATACAGCTGTGGTTTTGCTTTTCCAACAAGTTTTTAAATAACAAGTCTAGGTGTTGTTCTTTTTTTAATTAAAATTTAAATTATTAACCAAAACTACATGTTCTTTAATTACTAACTTTTAAATTTAATGTATAGGATTAATCAACTTATAATTTGGTCATAATTTGGTGCATAAGTTCTACGATTGGACAGTCTCATGACCCTTAAGTTTGACCGAAGGTTGCTTTGACAGTAATAAAAAAAGATGTATTAAAATAAATCGTTAGCATCAAAGTATAGCATTTTAATAATTCTGAAAATAGTAAAAAATGAAAAAAAGACTTTTTTCTCTTAGAGAAACTACAATATCGTTCAAATTTGCATCAGCCTTAACATGGCGGTAAAATGAAACATAATTATTAATATTTCATAAACTTAATAAGTACATGTTAAAACATGTGCAATTTGCATTCGATGCAAATTGACTGCAATATTTATGAGGTGTTAAATTAAACAATGCTTCCGCCGTTCAAGTTGATTTATAGTGTCGCATACTCAAGTAAAAGAAGTTATGTTTCATCAAAACGCAAAATTTCTAATTGTGTATTGCATGAGAAATACAATATTAGAAGACACAATTATGACGACACAATTATTTTTTAAAATTTAAACTAATAAAATATTTTAACAAAATTGTGAATAATCGTATTTAAAATTCTTATATTTTTAATAGTTTAAAAAGTTTAAGCATGAAATAAAAATATAAGATCGATTTAAAGAAAAAAAATTGTGAAATATTGCAGCAACTTTGTTTACAAACTACCAAACTTTATCTATATTAAAAATTTTGCAGAAAAATTAATAAAGGAACGCGTTGTTTTATTGTCATATTCAGTCAACGCAGTAAAAAATCCCTAAAGAAGACGTTATTTAAGTTGTTAACTGTAAGAAAAGTCGTTTACTGACTGCCTTCATCTGATTCGGTGAAGAAAAACCAGGTCCATCTCATGAAGCATCTTAGTTCCTTGCAACTGGGTACATACTTTAGCCAAGAGGGCAAATCTGTCTATCTCATGACAAGCTGAGCGTGGGTTCGTATCCCAGCGTTGACATCTCAACAAGTCTTTCATTCCTTCTACATATGAAGAGTGTCCAGTGTTCTGCAGTCCCTAATTAATGACTATGGATAATTGGAATACGAAATCTCTCATTTTCTCGTAGATGGCAGCTTCAATAAGCTGCTTAACACAAACAATCTTACATTTCCCATATCTTACGATAGATGGCACTACCAGTTTAACTGATTAAGCCACATTCTAGAGTTCATTTCACAAAACACAACTCAACCAAACAACTAAACTGAAATGAACAACTTAACAAAACACAGCATAGCTCTAAACTTCATTACATAACGAAAAATCTAACATAACCTAACTTCAAATTACCGTAACCTAAATTCAATACCGTAATTTCAGCAAGGAAATTTTAACATTGTATAATTGCGAGATTATTTTGAGAGAAAAATGTCAGTAAATGTTATGAAAGAAATCTTTTTATACCAAAAATTTTTTTCCCTCATTTTTATAAATAGTGGATCAGAACGTATGCAATAAGTTAGATCAAAATCTTTGCAACAATTTATAGGCAATTAGAGCTGCAAGTTTTGAAGCTGGATTTGCACTAACATCTAGTATCCCTTTTGTAAGGTTAGTTCTGTGAAAAGTTTCTAGTACTACTCATGGAAAGTCATTTTGAGAACAAATATTTCATATGGTTTAAATAGAATTTCCCTCAAATCAGGTTATACTTGGAATTTTAAATTGTGGTTAATCATACTTGAGTTTTTCATATTCTATTATAATGCAGAATATACCGTTTTTTCAAAATTGTTTTGAAATAGCGTCCAGAGAGGAATATATTTTCATGAACTTAATTTTGTGAAACTACTTACATTATTTAAAGGATCAGAATCTAATAGTTTTATTTTGAGCTGCTTACATAAACGAAAGACTTTTCATGAATTTAATTTTGCGACACAATTAACACTCTTCTTTTTTTTTTGATGGCTTAGAATAAACCGTTTTTATTTTAAAAAAGTGGTTAAAGAGGAGTAACTTTTCATAAACTAAATTTTGTTACAGAATTACAATAAAGTTGGAAATTTTCCTTTTATTTAGAATGTTTTTAAATTTTTTTGAAATGTAAATTACAGTGAACATTATTTTATTAGACTAAGGAAAGCCAAATAATAGAAATTAAAAATTAATAAAACCTTCAAATTCTTTTAAATCAACGTCTTCATCTGGTGCACCCGGTGGAAAATGCCCACCATTCGGATTTAGTGTCTCATAAAAGGTACTTTGTCCTAAAAGAACAAAATATTTTACGATTCATGCTTATACAGAAGAGACATGTAAAGGATTTACTTACAGTAGTGCACAATAATAAAGTGTGCTAAATCTAAAATATTTAAATGATTACAAAAGAGCAATTATAATCTTTATAATAATATATATAATTATTATTATAATAATTATAATATATATAATAAGTAGCGCGGCAAAGGTTTCTCATTTACAAAAAGGAAGTGCCGTCAATAAATTGATGACGCTTGTTTTTTTTTAAATATTTCGAACACTCATATTTTTTTACTATGGAAAGTTAAAATGTAAAATAAAATCAATTTTTGACACGAAACAATTTGACCACGACACCATTTTCCCTTTAAAGTAAGTATAAATTTACATTATCGATATTAAGTAAATTGATACTTAATTAACCATCGCACAGCGGAGTGAGGTTACTTTTTCAATTTCTTCTTTAACTCTCTTTGGGGACGGGTGATTCAGAAAAGCATTCGTACAAAATCAGGATCAGGACGTAATTAAATAAAAAACGGTCACTTAAATGTAGTCGTTTCTAATTTGACAGACTTACTTTGCTTTTACTTTAATTACTGTTAGTTTAATCGTATATATATAATCAATGATAATTCAAAGTACAGCTAAATAGTTTTATTTTGAACATAGTAATGGTGAATTAAATAAATCAAACAATTATAACTCCGCCCACAAATAAACTGCTAAAGAATTACTTTGATTATCAGTTTTATCTTTTTACCCTGGTTGATACGCTTTTACGCTGGCACGTATTTGTGACGGTCGGCGTGAAAGGGTTAAAAAACAAACATTAAAAAAATACATGACCTTTCCAATATGCCTTAGTAACTGCGCTTTTTACGATTCTGAGAAATGGAACTGACGCAAAAGCATATCTCTAAATTTTGAAATATATTGTTAACATATTTTTAGGCTGTAATGATATTTCACCGAATAATAAAATGCACCATTACAAAACCATATTTGAAAGATCATTTTAAGAAATTATTTTTAAAAATCATAGTAAGTCTAAAAATTAAAGTATAAACTAAATAAATAAATAAACACTTAACTGTAGGTCAGAGAAAGTCGGGTAGGTTGATCCACTTCCCACAAAAATCCATTTATATATTTTTTTGTTCAAATTATAAAATTTCGAAATTAACGCTTCGTGGTAGTTTAAAATGTTTATCATCTCTCTACATAGTTATTGTGAATTTAAATAATAACTCTTTAAGTACTCTTTAAGTACGCTTTTAATTAAGTATTTTTTCCAAAGAGTTCACACTAACTCTCTATTTGAGGGTCGTATGACAGGAGAATTTAAACTTGGGAATTGAAAAGTTATTACTAGCAATAATGTAATAATTTAAATGCCTTACGAAATTTTACTAAAAATTATGACGTCTGAGAAAATGTCAAATATTTACAACAAATTTGATTCGAAACTATAAAATTAATTTAATTTGAAAAAGCAAACAATTCTATTAAAATTCTATTAAATTCGATTTATGATGTAAAGGAATAGGTATGATTTTTTTGTTTGCTAATAATTTTATTAATAATGATTATTTCTGTGGAAGCACTGCCCCAGGTCCTAATAAGTGTCCGAGTTAGTTAGAATGTATATTAAAATTACACTAAATCGTCCAATTGATTTAAAATGTCAAAATTTTTTTATAGCTGATGATTGCTCTTGTAACATTAAACTCTATATTTAACTGAAGTTGCAGTTTATTTAGAATGAAGACTGTTTTCTAGTAGTATAATAAAAGGTTTATGGAGGTACTCTATTGTTTTAATTGTTCTTCCTTCAGTTTAATTGCACAATGTTCAAAATACTAATCTAATTATTTATAAACGAAAACGACACAATTAACTTATAGTTTATATAAGCCCTGTTTATTCTGCATTTTATTAGAAAAATAATATTAATTTATATGATGTTCTACACTTTCTTACTTAAAATTTAAAGGGTGCAATATTTTATCGATAATTTTAAACGTGACATTAAATTCATTTTAAAATAAAATTATTTTCAGTTAATTCCTCTAGAGTAGCGATAAATGTCAATGATATCTCATACTCTCTTGATGTTTGATCACCTTGACGATATAAAAGGTGTCAAGAGTACTAGGAAGACTAATAAAACTGCCATAAATTTCTTTTTTGTTTTTGTTTTTTATGCATCCCTTTTATTTCAATATTTATCCCAATAAGGCCTACCTTGAAAACGACCTGATATCCTATAAATACATGAATCATATCCAAAAGTTGCACACGCAGCATCATTGAAACCATTAAAGGCATGACCGGAACACTAAAAAGCCAAACCTACCTAGGACGATGCCATAGAAGATTTCCCCTAGAGCAACTATAAGAAAAAAATGTCGCATCTCCAAGTATTCTACACTTGATTAGCACCTTCATCAAAGAACTAATAGCGTCTGTATTACCTTATGCCACTCTCACGTCTGCTTTCTGAACAAACAAGGTGTCGTTTCGTATCTTCTCGATAAGCGTCTTCAGTAGGTCGCCTGAATCAATGCGATCACCATCGCCCAACGCGATTATTATGGGCAATGCGCCCACTTGGTGATTTGCGTCAGAGACTGTAGCAAGTTCACAGATTCGAATACTAAGTGTTTCCGATTCAACGATGTGCCGTTGTGATGTCACATAAGGATTATTTCTTCTCGCGCATGACCTCTGATTCTCTTTCACTAAAGTTATGCTGGAATGATATGTACTAACAAGTGATTGGTAGTTTTCTTCAATCGGTGTTTTGTTGATCGCTCCTAGCACGTGGTTATGTGATTACAAACTTAAAGGGCAGTATTTAGTAAAGTTTTGTTTGCATACCTGCAGTAAGGGAAGATGTTAGAATGCATGATGCATTTTAAAAAGATTGCTCAAATCTTATTGTACTCGTACATGCATACTTGCGTAATCTCTTTCCTTCCAACGACGACATTCACGAATTAAGAAATAGTTCGAGGGAGAATATTTATTTTACTATTCTCACAATTAAGAATAGCTTGAATCTTTCCTTTTTAAAGGAATTTTAAAGCGATTTAATATTATTTAAAAGATTTTCAAGCGTTGAGAATTTTTCAAATAAATTTTCAAAGGAGATTTGTAAATTTCTCTGATTTGTAAATACGAAAACCGTGACGGATAGGCACATGGCATCCGATGAGTTCATCCAAAATTCTCTCTCTCCTAATACGGGTTCGAATCCTAGTGATGGCTAGTTGATTCGTATAGCTATCGGTCAGTGTTGATTACCGAACTAAAAAGAACTCTTTATGGAAATCGGAAGCGAATCTTAGGTTAGCTTTCCATTTTAGTAAGGCTAACAAGAGAAATTGCAGTCAGGCCTATTATGTCTATTAAATTTACTAATCAAGGACGGAGCCTTTTAATTGTTTTCTTTTCTCTGCAAATATTTTCCACGAGTTTTGCTGTTATTCGAAGCCAGAAAAGAGTTTTAACCGGTTTTGATGCGTAACAAGTCTTGCTTGGAGAGGAGGAAGCATGTTTCAAAACCAGTGTTTGCTGGACAATTTTACACAAAGTTGAGGAAAATATTTACGTTTTGGCTGTTAGCTTGGTTAAATGTTAACTTCTGTAGGTCACGGAAAAGGTGTCTAGTTGTTTATTAGGGTAGCTATCGTTTACTATGTCCTTCACGAAAGCGAAAACCACGAAGTAATCAAGCCAAATAAACGAATATTGCTGAATAAGAAATACGTCTTTTATCCGTAGTCTTTGGTGGGGGACATAGTCCATAGCTGAAACGTAGTTGATAGTGGCTGAGGCATAGGAACTCAGGGTCTGCATCTTTTGAGTTAGATATATAACTGCAAGGTTACTTGTTACAAGGTTAAGGCTACACTGCGACTTGTGTTTGCAAATTTTATGAAGTGTAATATTTTTGCATACTATAAAAAGACATACATTTTTTATAGTAAATATTTTTAGGAGTGTCTGGTTTTCCTTACAGGTTGGCTTCGAGCAATACTTTTCTATTGAAGGAAATCCATTCTGTTTTAAAAAATATTCTGTTCACTTAATTTTGAAATTTTTTTTATTGTATTTGAAGATGGGTGAGTACAGCAGCGGAAAATATCAGTTTACAACGAAATAATATTAATTTAAATCCTGATTTCATTTTAATTATAAATAGACTTCATTCAGTTCAATGTAAGACAGCAACATATGTTGTAAATAGCCTCCTTGGTTTTGCAGGTGCACTTCCGTTCTTGTCTTAAATTTTCAATAAGTTATTCCATGGAGGAAGGGCAATTAGAAATTTTTTAATTTATACAGGTTTTTCATAAATAATTATTTTAATGTATTCATATTTGGCACTAAAATATTTCCGGCATAGGCGTATAATATATAAATTCATTCCATGCGTCATGTGCAGGATAAAAACTGTGAAATGTTTCGAATCACGAGGCACGTAATTTGTATGGATTTTAATGATATAGTCACAAATAGTCTCCTTCAAGGTTGAGTTTGGACTCGTTGACATAAACTTTTGATTAGTTGGTAAAGTTTACTGACACAAAAGCCTGAAATGGCTATACTGTGCCAATCACTGTATTTAAAAGTTTTTTTTTAAATAAAGTAATGAATCGACTACCATTGTTAAGATAACCATAATAAGATTCGGCTTTCAATAATTTACATGTGGAAGCAGTAGGAATGACAATTAAACCCTTAATTAAGACCTGAGTTTTTTAATCGATGGATATTATTTTGCAGTTGTCAAAGAAAATATAAATTTCATGAAAGTTTATGTTTTCCAATGTTTTTCTCTGCCAATGTCTATACTGGCGATTTAAAAATTAGTTTTAACTCCAGATTTAATGGGAAATTTCTGCTTACATTTCTTTAAATTTTTTCTCTATAGTGTCAACTAGTTCATTTCCACGAATACCAACATGCGGGAGTATCCGCCAGAAATGAATACTGAATCCTTCGTCACATAATTGTGTGACACCACTTTGTACTTTACATTAACTGCGATTTTTCACAATGTGATTTTTCACTACGCGAATAGATGCAAATCATCAACCCATGTTAAGTCAAAAGTAAAATTTAAATCCTGTAAAATGACACAGCATAATGGAGCAAAAATTGAAGATTTATGAAGCATTTTTTTCAGATACATTTTTTTCAGATATACTTAGTCCTTGATGATGGATGGTATTGAGATACTTTAAGTAGATTAAGTAGCTAAACCTTATTTCTGTTTTTATAGTTATCCATCGTGCATCTGTTACGCCTTGGGCACAGATGTCTTCAATTACTCCAGAGTACGGTAGCCACTGTAATCCTTTGTCTGTAATGATATCTTTGGATGTGGTGTAATTATAATGGAATTATGGCAGTGTGGAAATGTTGTCTAGTTTATGTATTTTTTAAAGTAATGTTATGTTGTTTGTTTGATAGAACAAGTTTCAACTTACAGGTTGTCGAACGGTTACTGTAGAACATTTTTAGGGTTTCCAATTTGCGATTCTAGGGATTTTTGAACTATAAGTGATGGTAGAGTAAAAGCTTTATTTCTGTCAAACATAGAATAAGAAATTTTGCCCCGGAAGGGTTATAATTTGTAAATTTTGATATTTTAAATTTGGGCAAAGTTTCACAAGCAACGCCTCTGAAGATTTCAGCTCAGTGCTTTGTCCAGCGTTGCTCCAGGTACGCACTAGGGTAGCTCTTTTTCATACGTCTACAGTGAAACAAGGGTTTACGAACATGCGGTCTGCAAACTTCGAGACAAATTTCACGTAGTCACGAAATTATAGACGTGTAACTCAAATATCTATTTTTCCACCTTACGAGACTCAGCACACAGCAAACAAGTTGATCAACAATAGTAAACATTGAAAGTTTTTGCACCCTAGCAATATTCGGAAAATTCTAGCTAAAGATTGGCCAAAAAACCAGAAACTAAAAGATAACTACTATCTTTATAAATAAATGAAATGGTACTTTACCACGTAAACGCGTTTTAATGTGTTCGAAAGTTTTCAACTCTAAATAGAACGTTTGCTGGAGGGAAACGGAAGAATGCTAAGGTCCAGCTCGCCCTCCCCGGCGCTGCGCTCGACACCCAAAAGTGTGCGGCCGAGGAAATTAACGTTTAACCTCAACTCCACCCCTCAAAACGTTTTTTTATATTTCCAATGAGCTGCACAATCGGTCTTACCGATAAGCAGACCTAATGCGTTCTCCAGTGGTTTTATCCACTCTTTCAGAGACCACCACAATAGGTGAGATACCGTTGGTCATGTTAATTTGGACGTTTAGTTTCTGCCACACTAGATGGCAGCACCGAGACTCTATTTGGATGCTAAAGTGCACTAGGAATTTAATTTTGGCGGAAATGCCAAGAACCAATAAGGCACTCCAGGGATCTTTTACATGCCGCATAATCATACGACAGGCCGCTGAGGATTTTCTGCATCCCGAAAATCCGTTGTCTGGGCCGGGGATTGAACCCGCAGACTTGGGCTCAGAAGGCCGACGACAAACCAACTGCGCCACCCAGCCACACCCCTCAAAACTACAATGTCAAAAGGCACTAAATATCACAATGGGGATGGCTAAGTTTTGTGTAGATTTCAGTAGGTGGCAAAAAAATAAAAGAATCGAGGAAAAGTGTTCTAATGATGTCCCCAGCTTAAAATCTGCACCAAAAAAGTGACGCAGTGATTAACCTAATGTGTAGTTAACTAAGTAGTTATAACATGCTTCTTTAATAGTCTTTTAAGGAGATTTCATCTTTTGTCTATATTCCATGGATGCAGAAAAAAGACGAACTTATAAGATTCTGTCAATTTGCAGACTAGGCAAGTTTCATAGCAATTACCTTTAAGGAATTTGGGGTAGTTCTTATGTAAGAAAAATATCGAACATAAATATCTATTCATAAGTAATCGATACAATATGCATTTTATAACAGTTGTCTGTTTTTTTTCTCTCCATTTATTGGTTGAAATGTCACAAAGGTACAGATCCTTCGTTAAAGTTTTTGCTTAGTGAAAAGCTACTGTCAGTCGTAATTTAGACCTTAACAATCTTTAGCGATAAAATAATAGGTTACAAAACTGCGTCAAAAAAGATTTTTATAACGTTTAGTTTTATTCAAAAAAGTCCAACGAGAGATAGAAGTAAAAAAGTTGAAAAAGAGAAAGCAAAAAAGTAGAAAACTAAGCGTTTGACGAAACAATTAAATAGCGAGAATTTTTTGTTATTTTACGAAAGTTCAAATTAAAAAAAATTATATTCTGGAATTGAAATTAGGCAAAATTTAGGAACTAACGTAAAATTTTAACCAATTCTATTTTTACATATTATAATTTTTTTTATTTCTGTAACTAAGTAATAATACTACAATCAAATTGGCAGAAAACGGCTCTTTCAATTCATGTCATGCATTTTAACAGTTCTAAAATTGAACCAATAAGTTTCAAAATATTTCGGAAGTTGCTAAAAATAGTGTATAAAAATCTTATTTAGCAGAAACTTTTCGATTTTTAAAAGCTGTTTGTCGCACTTTTTGACATCATTAAATCTGAAAAGTTTTACGTGTATGTAACTGATTATGAATGTACGGTTACGTTGTATTACTTCTATTACTAA